ACGCCGTAAACACTGCCGATAGTTCACACTAACACCGGCCGTCCAACGAGCCTCATATGCGACCGATAATTAGTCGCGAGCAGATACCGCCAAGAGTTGACGAATTAGAACAGACTAGCGCAGCTGTGTTACTGAGACGCAGTCTGCAGACGCACGCATCTCGTCATTTAGAGCTGCATTGGCTCATAAGATTTCTCACGAATCTCGAATCAATCTGGTCGAGAGTCGAGACTCAGCTAGCTGGAGGTCACTGGGCCTGGCCGCCTGGACATTGGGCGGCTGCTTCGCTTCCTCAAGCTCCAGCGCTCCCCAGAGAGGTCCCGTGACGGTCCCCGCCCCACTCGGCGACCAGCGCTGAGGGCACACGCCCCGCAGCACATCCCGAGCGGCCGCGGACGCTCCGACAAAAACAAACAGTGCCGCCCGTGTCGGGTCGCGGCCGGCCGGCCGCGGACCATTTTCAGAAGTGGCGGGCAGACCGTGCGTCGAGTACTTGCTTTCTCGCGCGGCGGTACTGGGGTTCACTAGCATTGTTTAAAATATTTTCATTTGCCATGAACTTGAAATTATACACTGTAATTAACGATCTTTTGTCAATTATTACAAGTTCTTCAAATTTATTCTTTGAAAGCAAATGATTTCATTTCACTCAAGAATTGTCTTGTCCACCACTACAACCGCCACCCAGCCGCCATCCATTGGAAGAGATAGGCTCTGCGGCACAAAGTGTCGTTTTAAACTGGACTGGGAACCAATGTGTGATGACATTTAGAGCTAAATTTATGCTCATTGTGTACCTAGAAGCATTGGGAACAACGCTCTGACTGTACATTTTTAGATTTTTGCCTCGAAATGAAAATATTTACAATCAAGTACTTTGCGAGCGCAGTTTAGAAGCTCCCGTAATGTTAAAGTCCTATCTCCTACAAGTATGTAAATACTGCTCTAGGGAACCAACAGTTCGCATCGTACTAGCTTTAAATTATGTCCATAGTGTTCCCAGTACTTTGCTGAACACTGTGGTGAGTGTACATTTTTCGTTTTTTGCTTTACAAGCGTAAAATTCGTCTGGTTTTATACCACTTCATTCGCCTCCATAGCCCGGTAACGGCGCCGCGCGGCGCGGCCGGCCGGCGCCCGCTGTAGTTCCAAACACTGCCCGATAGATGGCAGGCGCAGAAGTGGTCCCAGCCGTCCCGGTACGCCATAAACAGCTCCCCTGCTGCGGCCTCAGCCCTAATGCAGCCACTGCGGCGTATGGCCGGATGGGACAGGGGAGGTGGTGTCAGTGCAGGACACAGAGTTCCAGCGCCGTCCTCCGGGCACTGTTTGGTCAATGGTCAGTTGGAACTACCACATCGGCTACAGCCTACATGCCAGCAAATGCCTTTTCTTTAGCTTTGCCAGATCATCATGAAATGGCGGCACATATGTAGTTATCAGTTTGCCAAATATGGCTAATTACCTGTGACGGTGAGAGCACTGCAGTTTATCTAGTGACGACCGTCCTGGTGCTTTGTTAGAAAATGGAGCGGTCTGAGCTTACTGCTCCATGCCCTCGCCCCGGCGAGGAGGGGATATTCTGTGCGCACTAGACGGCCGGCGGAGTCTGCAGTCCGTATCCGACACAATGCTCTGTTTCGAGTCCCGAGGTGCCACAGTTCTGAGCCAGAGCGCGGCCTCTCCGTTGCAGGTGCCGTTCAGAAGAGGCTGCCAGACACGGTGGCGTTGCCAGCTGGCCAGCCCTCCTGGGGTCATGACCTTTGTGCGTCATCACTGAGGACGTAGCAGCCATTTTATTCGAGACATAATGAAAAGTGAACGACGCTTGGGATGTCAAGAGTGCTGAACCTGTATCTACAACTTTTTTTTCTCGCCATATTATGTTTTCGACAAGGCACCCAGTAGCAATGGCATGGGTGCCGACAAGGCATCCCATGACATTGCCAGGCTTTGACTTTTCTCCTATTTGCTAACACGAAAATTAAAACAGCGCGGACCCATGCGAAAGACGAAATGAACTTTTGATTGAAAGCTGTCGAATCTGTCTAGACTCTAGAGTAAACCTATAACGCGCGTGCAAAGTAAGACGGCGAGGAATGCAGCGGTATCAGACCACCAGAGACCAGCACGCCATGCTGGTATTTGGACCGTCAGAGCACGTCGATGATAGGCGCTAGTCTCAGAAGTCTTACCAAAGATACTCCCATGCCGCCTCCAGTGAGACTGTTCATCAGACTGTCCTTGACCTTTGGCGTGGAACACCCCGGATATAATCGGGCTGGCAGATCACGAGTTCGAGCTGAATTCGGGCCAATCGTCGGGCATGGCATCCTGCGCCCGTCTCGAAACTCTCCGTCTCGATATCTGGCATCAACATTGCATGACGGTGCAAAGTGACACACCGTGAATTTCTTGGACTTCTGTTTAACGACATGCTGAGTGGTCGACGAGATGAGTCCAAGATGAGCTTTGTCGCGCCGCGGGTGAACCGTTGTTGAGCTCCCACTGACCGAACTTCTGACCGATGTCGGTGCACCCCCTGACCGCTCCGCCGCCGGTCAGTCTGTGTTTACCCCAGACCGCGGTCCTGCGACCTCCGAGGCCACGTGCGGCCCGTCACAGCTGGACAGTGTGTCAGCCCCCGGGTCAGTGCCGCACCTATCGGACCCGGTCCCGTCGGCGTCTCTCCCTGGCCACGCTCCGGTGATTGATCGGACCATTATTCCATCCGACACGGCTGGGAACCGGACAAGGTCATATTGCGCAGGCGAGCCGCAAGTACCGGACGGCTTACGGTCTTATGTGTTGGTGTCTCAACCATGCCTTGGCTATGAGAGAAATGCGCCCTGTTTGAGGTTTACATCCCTGTATGTTCCCAACAGATAAGTGGACACAGCTCTCCAAAAGATTTTCACCTGTGTTTTAATGGTTTTATGTGATTTAATGTCGTTTCTAATGTATCACATGCTCGTCTCCAACCCGCAAGACCTCACGTTCGGCGCTCATGCACTGTATTTATTGCGTAATACCGGGATAAGCCTCTGAGGCTGCTCCCAATAATTCGGATTTGTTGGCACTGTAACGGCTGGAGCTATGACGACATCCACGCACCGACCTCGACTCAGACTCGGGATCTGAGCCGGCCGACGCTCCGCCGCTGCCGGTATAGCGTCCAGGGCACTGGGGCTAGAGCCGCTGTGAGAAAATGGAAACCATGGCCAGCTCAGTCGGGGTTGCTGATTGATCGCTCACTGTGTCCAGGTATGTACGAGGCAAGTCGCGTATACTCTCAGTGCTGCTCAGCTAAAATGAGCTCTCTCGCAACATCTGCGACACGGATCAAGTTGAGTGAACACATTCACTATTGCAAACTGTCGCCAGCAGTTGCTCCACGGGGCCACCGTCTTAGTTCGCTGTCGCCGAGTCACTCAGCCCGTTTCCAGTGACGTCTTGTTCGAATATGAGCATTGCTCGCTGGAAGGGTCGCGCATATCTTCACCTTTCTCCACCTATATAATAGCATCCGAATACCTACGGGCCAAATGAAAAGGATATCTTCCGAGGATTTTCGTGAGAGTTTGTACATTTTATAATTAAACTTGTCATTGAACTTACACAACGTAACATTCGAAATTTTTATATTTTATTCGTATTAATGTTGAAATCTGCCCGCTTGAGATTATCGTATCGACGCTCTTGCAAGTGTCAGTAACAATGTGTCAAACAGCCGTTCAAAATCACGGAGAAACGAGCGAACGTCATCGAGACGCTCAACGGAGTAGAACAGCTGAATGAAATCAAGGGTGGAACGTATAACGAGCTTTTAACGCTCTCCGAGGCGAGTTGAAATTAACCTTGATGATAATCGTTTTCAGTTTAGTGCTGGGAAACGAATATAACTTTAATGAATCCAATTAAGCTCTGGTAATTAATTATTTCAAGTGCTGAGCTCACCTTTTGAAGCTGAGGCCTCTCTCCTCTCTCCTCTCTATTCCTCTCTCTCGCTCTCTCCCCCCCTCTCTCTCTCCTTCTAATTACCGACTCTCACAAATGCCTACCGAATCGTCACATCACGCTACCGGTCAACTTAACCGTTGCATGCCGTAGCGTTTACTCTCTTCTTTACCGATCAATTCTCGGAGGGCTGCTTACTGGCCATTGTGCTGCGTAATAATGACGCACCGCTGTGTATCCTGCGTATCACCACGGCGATGACGCATGCCAAACACTGCCCATGTGCGCCCATGAGTGGCGACGCCCCACTTTGTTTGCACGCAGCTGTGAAATAGTGCGCACGCTTTGAGCTCTGGCCTCTGACACATGTCCGACCGCAGCCACCGCCTCGCGCCACACACTTCCGACCACACCGGACATGTCACCGCGCCGCGCCAGATGCTCTGCGGTCGGCACCGAGGACCACGCACACGCGCCCCGCCCCTGCCCCGCTCCCGCCTCCGCCCCGGTCTCGGCTGATGTCATCGTGCCTCAGTCCTGCTTCTGGTGTCTGTATTCCTTGAGGCGTGCGTTCCGCCGTCTGTAGTCTGTGTTGTGGCGTGTCTGGCTCTGACTTTTACTCAGATTCCATTCGTCTGCGGGCTGGTCGGCGCAGATGTCCAGTAGACAGCGATATGGTTTGGTTTCACTTTTATTAGCGGTCGCTCGGCGCCACGGTGGGTGGTAGGCGGTAGGCGGTGCCCCAGTCCCGGCTCGATGCTCCTCTGAGACTCGGCTCGGTCGGAGGCGCCCTGTGTCGGTCCTGCAGTCGGTCCAGACCCCCGCCGTGTGGTGGGTGCGGGGACACGGCCGCGGGAGTCGGTCGACCCCCGCTGGGAGCGGCACACCGAGGCCGTCCACCGGGCCCGCACGGTTGCGTCACTGGCAAACGGCCCGACACGCGCCGGGGGCCATCGCCGACCCGAGCCGGCCCCGCCCGTCCAGGTGCGCCCCTCCCTCCCCGGCCGAGCCGCCACTGACCGCAGGGTCTCTACTGTTCCCAGGTGCCGCGCCGGAGTCTGACCGACAGCCCGTGGGCCGACCTCGCCCCTGAGCGGCCGACGGACCACGGCGCAACGATCAGAAACCGCCGGAAACGGACCGACAGAGGATCAGACGGCGCCCTCACGGCGATCAGACAGCGGCTAAGGGTGGTTACCAAGTGAGCGGACAAGTAGTCGCCACTGAGTGAGATAACGAACATCTACTGAACGCTCAGTGTCGGTTGTCAGCAAACGACCAGCGAACTCGCTGTGATCGTTTAGTGAACGTTCAGCGGAAGGCAAGTGCGCGGTGAGCTGTGACATGCGGTAGCGCAACTGGCACTGACCTCATCTGGGTCGCCATGGAGTCAGCACGGCTACCGCTACCACTGGTCTGGCTGGTCGCCGTGGCAGCAGTCTGCTCTTCACTAGTACAAGGTAAGCCACCGGGGAGTTGGAAACTCACCCTTCCTTTCTGGCTTGTCGCGGGTGGTGTTTGGATGGCGTGGTGCCGTCTTTATCACCGCCACAGGTAAACTATTCGAGTAGATCCTTGGAATTCATGCTTCCCATGAGCGCCATATAGTGCCCACCGAGAAAGTTGTTTCGGGAAAGTTATAGGAGGGGAATTAGGGAAATCAGCGAGATGTGAACGCCTATAGCGGTCAGACTCGCTACGCATGTGTGCGACGGTGGCTGTAAATCGTTTAAAGCGTCGTAAAAACCCTGCTGGGAGTAAACCTGCTCGCGGGTACTTGCATACCGGACAGGAAAGTATAGCCTGCGAGTATCTGAGTCTGGCGTGGATAACGCGTCACTAAGTTACGTCGCCGATTCATGCCAGATCATGGACGAAAATAGCAGCTGTGTTCCCAGCCAATGTGCTTGCAAAACATGATCCACCGCGTAACTTATCTAAATTAGGCAACTGATTGGCCCAACTCGATGGAAGACCAGAACCGGTATGATAAATCTATCTGCATCCATAACACGCGCACCTGGAATTTCATTCGTTCTTTTGTCTTCCACGCTATCTCTGATCTTGATTGCTTTGATTTTATCTTAGTTGTGGAAGTTCGTGGTAATCACAGGAGTGTTAATGAGGGTTTGCTAAGACCCGCAATCATTGAGCAAGTCAAGCCACGGAAAACGTCATGAGGCAATATGTCATCAGTCAGCCGCCTGCGGTCTTCTGTTAGTGACTTTTCATTCAGCGTAGATTCTTTGCCGTATTCTCTCATGCGGATCGACTCGAATCACTAAATCAGTGCCGCTCAAACACCCGACTGGAGCTAGCGGCTCGGCGGCGCCGTATCGTCACTAACCGCTGAGCCTCGGGTCGGGCCCGACGATGACGCACAACTCGGAGACCACTCCTGCGGAACGGTGTGCGATCGTCTCACTCACGGGGCTGAATCCACCGCGCCGCGCCGTACCGTAGAGAGTGGGGCCCCATCTCTCTGAGAGTGGGGCCGCGCGCCGCGCCGGCAGGACCAGGATGCAATGGGGAGAAATCGGGAGCAGGCCCGCGAGCTGCACTGACGGGACACGCTTCAGTGACCCCGGTCATCAGCTCTCTGGGGTCACCGCGCGGCGCCGTGCCGAGGCTCTGTCACCCGCTAGAGTCGGCCCCGCTGGGTTACGGGGGGGGGGGGGGGGGTGCTGACCGCAAACCGTGGGACCCGGTCGGACTGAACGAAATCGTGAGTGCACCCAATTGGGTTACTGTCTGCAGCCACGATGAATGTCGTTTAAACATTGCGGCTTCCGAACCATGGCCATTCATAAAGGCATTGCACAATGCGATCCTTGCGGTATGTCTCTTTAACTGTTTTGCTTTCGTGCCTCGTATACTCGTATGATAAACTACCTGCCGTCTATCGTGTGGCCTTCACCTATTTGTTTGATAACGGAGAAGCCAATAATTCACGTAAGGGGATTGGACAGTGGACACTCACGACAGCCGAACTGTGGCTGGTTTTCCCAAGCGTCGGACGTTTCGAGACGGTCATTTTGGTACCGTAAACCGGGGTGAGTTGATATGGATTTTGAGGTTATTCTATATTTCTTTAAAAGCCACATTCATTTACGGAATTCTTTTTGTGCCAGTTTCATGGCACATGCCTTGGGGAGGCAATCAGCAAAGATGAATAAAAAATGTATATATTAAGCCCCTTTTTTAAAACGCCAAAGTTCATATCAACTCACCACCCCCCAGGGGGTGAGTTGATATGATTTTGGATTTTTCAAAATTTCTCGGCTAAAGAAGCTCAGAGGTGAGTTGATAAAATGCCAGTGTTTAAAAAAAGGATGAGAGAACACATCCTGAAAGAAACCATTAGAAAAATGATAGTAGTTTGGCAGCAGACCTCACATTCATAAAAACGCAATCATGTCCAACACAGCGCTATCAAAATGGCTTGATTTTAGCAGCATCATTTTTTCGCTTTATGATACTTAGTTTTACTTAGAACATTCTGAACTTGGCTAGTCACGTGTCCTCAAGCCAACGGTATCAAAACTGGCAATATATTTTGGAATTACAAGTGTATTTTCTTGTAATTAAAACACATTGTCAGTTGCGGGTCAAGGTTGATATGCCTCTCACAGAAATAATGGATTGAAATGAAAGAACACATATACTTCTGAGCTTTTGTGGACTGGTAGTCAACAAAATATTTATGAAGTGAAGTGAAGCGAATCTAATTTGGACTGTATTCTATCAGGTGAAATATGCGACATAAAACAAAATTCGGCATCAAAAGCCAAAATTAACCCTCGCACTTATAGGCGGGCGAACGGACCACTTCGGCTTTTCGCACATAACTCGCGCAAAAAGCGGCCGATCGCGACGAAACTTTCAGTGCCTCTCGAGTTTATCAATTTTACACATGTTCTAAAGATTTCATGACCCTGACTCAAATGGTTTTTGACTTGTGACCTGATTCTCGAGACCATGCTTGGCCGGAATCGCGATTTGGCGTAGTCCGCTCACATTATCCGCGCATTTCCAGTCTTTTTGTGATTGTAACGTCCAAACATGTAAATGATGTTGGTCCCATGCAGTATTGTGGGTGTCAACTGTCAAGGTCACCTGAAGGTCAGGTCAGGTCATTGACATTTGGTGACCTCGGCTCACTTTTGGAGTTTTACATGTTTCTAGGGTAGTTTTTTTCGGGCCGACGTCGAATTTAACATGCATTTGATCATTTACGAAGTAGTTTTAGTGCCTTCGTAACATGTTACGACACCGTCAGTGGTAGTTGACACTTGACACTCCCTATGGATAGCCGGCAGGACACCTACTGGTTGACCTGACCTGACCTGACCTGACCTGGCCTAAATGTACGAAGACACATGTGATCAAAACAAACATGACATTCGTGATCAGCAACAGCCAAAAAATAATAACCTCGCTTTACGAACTTCAAATAACCCCTTATTTTCCCGACTTCTGGGTAATTGACCTGGCCTGGAAGGTTAACCAATGACCTAGGACCTTAAAGTTGGTTATCATCGGCTTCCTCGCGTCTCGGGCAACACGCTCGTTTTTTCCTCGAAGCTCTAGCTCCACCAGGGGCCAAACGACGATGGGATTCCAACGGACCCCCCCCCCCCCCCTATACGTTAAACGCTGGCAAAACACGAATAGGGGCGAGGGCTAAAACACCAGTCAATTTCTTTATATTGTTTGTTCCATTTCATTTTGTCACTCATTCTCGGTTGACAACTGCCAAGCAGGAAAACTAATCAGTTTCACGAGATCAGAATTCCCGCGCTGTTAGCCATACAGAAACGACAGTTCTGTCATTTTCGAAACCACGAATAATTATAACATTTTTTTTTAATCTGTATGTATATAGGTGTTCTATAGTGTTCCTTTGTAGCTTGTAGGGAGTCATCTTGAGACTTGACAGGGAGTTGTGCAGGTGCTGTGCCTTTTGCATGTTAGGTATGTCCACAGAAAAAAAAACTTTGGGGTCACTGATTTTTGTCGGACCTTCGTCCCCGTCTTGAGTTGAGAATTGAGATGTTAGTTTCAAACGTTTCGGAGTTACTCTCCGGCCGTCGTCACTCGTCAGGTGTTCTTTGACCCTCAGAAGGACCTGGATGTTGGTGGCGTTGCACCGTACGCGTCCAACCGTTCGAAAGCTCCTGTAGTCAGCGGGAATCGAACTCGGGTTTCCCCGGTGATGGTCCACGGTTCTAACCACTCCACTATCGAGGCAGATTTGATTATGGCCGGAGAAGTTACTTGCTGAAACGTTGTGAAACTAACATCTCAACTCATAAGACGGGGACGAAAGTCCGACAACTAACATCAGTGATACTAACAGGCCTCGTCTCAAGCATTCAGAAAAAAAAACTAAAGCTTTTGGGGGTTGATGGAATGATGTGGGGAGAGAAAAGGAGAAGAGTTGGTCTAATTGACTTTGTCTTACTTGCAGACCCATATTTCATGCTAATTTGCATGCATACCAGCCTGGTATCAGCTTTTATCATGCATATCAACTCACCACTTGATGGCATATCAACTCACCACCTGTCACTTTTCTTAAAATTATAAAAAAGCGTTGTTATAGGTGAAACCCAAAACTACCTGGGATCAACAGTAAATTGATGGTAGTTGCTTTCCCAGTGCATGTTGTTCCATGAATATCCACGGTCTTTGTTGTAGGGTGGGGACTTTTCCTTAGTTTCAAAATCAGAAGAAAAAAAGGACTTTGAAAAAAGTAATGTGTTAAGAAGGCACTGCACCACATGCATGCCTTTCTCAGCTATACCTATGCATCACTTATTGGTTGCTTCACTTCACAGAAAAATAAAACTAAAAATTGGTTTACAAATGGATGAGCAGCACACATTTTAACATTTTTCGAGCAATTTATATCAACTCACCACCCCATATTAACTCACCCCGGTTTACGGTACGCATTTTACCGCACGTTTGTGGCCAGCTGTCTTCTTCAGAGTACAGGAGCCGCGTAAATTAGGCTCACGTCAATGGTAACATTTCAAGAAGATATGTGCTATAGCATACAGCCCTTACATAACCACTAACCAGTCATTCGAACTGCAGCAGCAGTCAGCAACACCAAATGGCCTTCTAATAATCAGACCATCAAAAGTGCGTGCTGTGTCTTTAGGTTTGTTATGCTTCCGAATACTTGTCATCCAGTTGTTTTACCTGACCTTCATGTCGATCGATTGTGCTGTACCAGTCGAGCGTTTCAGTCCGTTCCTGAAGGCGTCGTGGCGTGGCGTTGCTGTTGTGAACGCCTATCTCCCTGCCCGACCGCCACCTCTATCCCACTCTATGGGGAGATTGCACCACCCCCACCGTGACCTCCGGCGGCCTCTGGGTCTGACCCGACCTGACCTGACCCGACCCAGTGTCAGCCGCGGTCAATGGTGCCCAGAGCCGCCGCCCGCCGTTC